GAATGCCTGGGTAGCTCAGTCAGTTGAGTGACCGACTCTTGATTTAGGCTCAAGTCATGGTCCCAGGGCCATGGGATAGAGCCCCCAGTGGAGCTCCACACTGAATATGGAGCCTGCTTGAGATTTTGTCTCTCCTCCCTTTGCTCCTCTTCCCTGCTTGCGTGTGCTCTTTCCCTAAAATAAGAAAAGTAAGAACAAAAAAAAGAAAAGAATCTATCATGATTACTATATAACCTTGAACATCAAGGCTTGCTGAAGTCAAAGAATATTGGATTTGAAGTCAACTTAAGTTTTTTTCCTAACTTTTATGTGAACTGCCACATGATTTTAATAAGCTTCAAATTCATACTGAGTTTTAAATTCTTTTTTTTTTATTGAAGGGGATTACAATGATCTTTTTTAGTCATCACCTAGAGATTTATAAAAAATAAAAAGTATTCTCCCAATTATTATATAAAATGTCTGAAAATAAGGAAAATTTAAAAATATAAAAGAAAAATATCACTGTATGTTTATTTATCTTTATTCTCATGCCTGTATTTACATAATAGGAACCACTCAACACAATTATTACTTACTTTTTTCAATTAACATTGAGATAGAAACATTTTCTGTGTCATCACAAATTTTTACAAGCAAATATTAATTGCTATACAATAGATGTAATATATACTGGTTCAATGGCATATGCATACATATGTAAGGTTGACAATACCATATCCTTGAACAACAAGGGAGTTGGGAGTACTGATCCCTCACTCAGTCAAAAATCTGTGTATAGCTTTTGACCCTCAAACTTTGACTGCTAATAGTCTACTATTGACTAGAAGACTAACCAATATTGTAAACTGTCAATTAAGACATATTATGTACATTTTATGCATTATGCACTATATTCTTAGAATAAATTAAATTATAGAAAAGAAAATACTATTAAGAAAATAATAAGGAAGAGAAAATAACAATTACAATACTGTACTGTATTTATTAAAAAACACTGTGTATAAGCTCAAACCTGTTGTTCAAGGGTCAACTGTATATATCTATAACCTCTGTATTTAAATATTTTCAACATTTTCTTATCATAAGCAATCCCTCTATAAACCTGTATAAATTTTTCTGTAGCTGGATTACTTATTTTCTATTTGGAGTTAATGAATTGCAGATCGGCTTCTCCAGAAATATGATTTGGAGACAGACTGGTGTCCAGGAAATTCCCCTGTGGGGCAGGAGAGGGGTATTAATTAAAGGGAGAAGCTGGGTTATGACACATTCTCAAAGTGATCTCAGGCAAATTAATATCAATCTCTGAAGGTGAGATGCCTTTCAGAGTTGTCTGGAGTCGGGGTAAGGGACCAAGCCTTTATATCAGAGCATTAACTAGTTATAGATGCGAAGTGCCCAAAGGAAGAGAAGGAGTCTGGACCAAAGGTTTCTCCAACAGAGTTTGTCCTAAAGGGGGTCATCTCCTGGTAGGACTTCTTTTCCTGAGAGACACACCACACCACAGTGTTCACTAGAAAGCCTGTCACAAGTTTCAAAGTTCTTTGCACATTCCAGTAGGTAGCTTTCTCAAAACTATTGTACAATTGAGATTAATATTGCTGTGCTAATTACCAGCTATAAGTTGCCTTGAAATAGTTGAAATAAATTCTTAGTCTATTTAGTTTGTTTATGGAGTTTCATATAACATAAATATTTTAAAATATTACCAGCCTTATTTATACACTCACTTTTATTTGCAATTTTATGAAAGGTTTAGATATGCTTTCTTATCTCAAAATTAGAAAAATACTATACTTTAGTACTTTATAGTTTATTTCCATATATAGTATCACTGAAATTTATTTTTGTGTGTAATGTAATATAGAAAACATACCTTGTTTCCAAACAGGTAGCCGTTTCATGAATAATCAAACCTTTCCTTATTGATTTGAAATGTCACCTTTATTACATAGTACATTCTCATACACACATATTCTCCATGCTTTGCATTGATCTATTTTCTTATTCTTCCATCAGTACTATACTTTCCATTAATAAAGATTTATGGTGCAAGTCTCTCTCTATTATTATTCTTTTTTTCTCATTATTTTCTTGGCTACTTCACACATTTAATCTTGGAGATGAAATTTAGAATCAGTACATCAAGTTATAAAACAACCACAAACACAAAAAAGCAAACAAATCAAAAAGAGATTTTGGATGGATTTTCATTAAATTTATGTATTAATTTGTAAAGAATTGGCATTTTTACAGTTTTGAGTCTTTTCCTCCAAGGACATGACATCCATTTCATTTACTCAGGTCTTCTTTTGTTTTGTCATGGAATTTTTCAGCTGATTTGCTATTCAGCTCACACATAGAAGAGAAAGAGAATGAAATATCTGTATAAACTGATTCTAGCAAGAGTTCGTGTCAGGCTGACCCAGAATGTTGGTAGTCTGTTTCTGTCCAAGTGCCCAAACTATAACATCTGTACCTTTAAATGTTTGTATAAACTTTAGTCATCCCCAAAGTATAATGCTTCTTCATTTGCTTTTGTTCTTGTCTATATTTTGTATAATTATTTTCTTTATTTTGGAATCTTCCCTCAAATTGAGAGCTTTCACAGTTCTAAATAATTCAGAAATAAACATAATAAGCATAATGGCTTATTTGAGTCCAATGTATGTTTTCTACAACAGTGTTCTTAGATTTTCTCATTCATGAAGTAATTTTTAAGCTTTTAGCCACTAAATCTCTTGCCTTTCAAATTTAGTGTAGATGTGTTTCCCATAGTAAGCTTAATGATCATTTCTTTTTCCTTCTCATAATTTATAGTTTGATTCTCAAATTATTTAATGTATTTTATGATTGCACCACTAATATATTTATATGAAAATTTTGGAGAAGATAAAAAAGCCCTTGCCTAAAAATAAGTTTTGCTAAATATAGCAAACATGAGAAAGCCACTCTTTACAGATTGGACTACTTCTCTATCATTTTTATATACATATGAATAAGGAGGTATTTTTGTGCTTTTGATAACTTTTTTCACATAAAAGTATATTACAAACATTTTTTCTGTAACATTATTCTTCAGGCTGATCCTTTATTGATGTTTTATTTATTTTTAAATGTTCATTTATTTATTCTGAGAGAGACAGAGAGAGAGAGAAGTGCATGTGTATTCATGCATGCATAGCAGGAGAGGGGGAGAGAGAGAGAGGAGAGACAATCCTCAGGAGGCTCTACACTGTCAGCACAGAGCCTGACACTAAGCTTAATCTCACGAAATGAACTGTGAGATCATGACTTGAGCCGAATTCAAGAATTGGATGCTTAGCCAACTGAGTCACCTAGGTACCTTCAGCAGGATCTTTTGAATTAATATATAGTATTCTACCATATATTGTCATAATTTATTGAGCTAATCCACTAGATGTGGCTATCAGGTTGTTTTCAAACTTGGTTCTCATAAACAATGCTGGATACAGTCAAATGTTTATTTCATTAGTTTCACTTCCTAACATTGAAATTACCAAAATGAGAATATGGTCATTTTGTTCTTTGGATGTATGTTAAAACTGTCCTCTGGAGACTTGGTATGAGTTTAAAGTTGCATATATATATTTGAACTTTCATTATGTCCCATACTCTTTTTTAGCAATGAGAATATAGCAGTTAATGAAACAGACAAACATCTAGGACATCCTGGATCTTACATTCTAGGAGAAGAAAATCATCAGATAAATAAGATTTATGTACACCTACCTTATAGGATTGCTATAGACTTAATTGTGTCTTCCCCTCAAATTCAAAGCTCTGATTCTTAATGTGGCTGTATGTGGAGAAAAGACTTTTTGGAAGTAATTAAGCTTAAATGAAATCATTAGGATGGAGTCATAATCTGATAGGACTGGTAGACTGATAAGAAGAGGAAGAGAGTGTATACACACTGAACAAAGGCAGTGTGAGTGCACAGTGAGAAGAAGGCAGCTGTCTGCAAGCCAGAAAGAGAGTCTCACTAGAATCTAACCATGTTGACATCCTAATCTCAGACTTTCAACCTCCAGAACAAAATATCATAAGCTGGATGTCTTAAACAGCAGATATTTTCTCACAGTTCTTCAAACTGAAATTCTGAGATCAGAGTATCAGCATCATCAGGTTCTGGCGAAAGTCTTTTTACTGGCTTGTAGATGGCTACCTTCCTCTGTATTTACATGGCCTTTCTTTAATGCATGCATAGAGAGAGTGAGCTTTACTTCTTATAAGACACTAATCCCATCATGGGGCCTTATCCTTATGATCTCATCTAAACCTAATTATCTCTCAAAGGCTACTCTTTAAATACCATCACCTATGGGATTTGGAAGGAGAAATAAAAAGCAGACTTTGGACTTGTTATATTTGAGATGCTTACTAGACATTTAAGTAGAAATGTGGGTCAGCAAATAAATATACAAGTCTGGGAATTAGTGGAGAGGTATAAGCTGGAAATCTTAAGAATGCAGATTAGAAGCTGTGATTCTGCGTAATAACATATAGAGAATGGGGATAGAAAGGGTAAAGCATCCCAGTGATTGAGCTCTAGTCTACCCTGATAGTTCTAGAATGGAGAATTGAGGAAGAACAGGCAAAAAGACTAAGAAAGAAAGACCAAGGTGATGGTAGGAGTGAAGCCAGTGAATAAATATCCTGAAAGAAAGTGATAAAGTGTTCCAAAGAGAAATGATTAAATGCTGCTGATAAGACAAATTATACGATCACTGCATTTATTAGTCATTGGAGTTCATCACTGAGGGCTCCTACATGAGCAGTTTCAGTGAACTGGAGATGGCAAATGCTAAATGAGGTGTATTCTAGAGAAAATAGGAAAACATATGTATAGACAATGCTTTCAAGAAGTATTTTTGTAAAGACCACTTGATAAATGGAAGCAGTATCTAAAGAGAAAAATATAAAAAAAGAGGTGTTTTAATTTTTTCCCATGTGTTAATTTATTTATTCTTTAGATGAGAGAAAACATTTTGGGGTTTATATCTCAATGAGAATGATCCAATGGAGAGAGAAAATTGATGATGTAGAAGAGAAAGAGACAACTGCTCAAGTATTGTCCTCAAATAAGTGAGAGAGATGAAGAGACTAGTCATTGGTCAGGAGTATAAATAATTCATCCATAAAAACAAGGAGATAATAAAGAGTACAGTAAAAGCTTGGATTGTGAGTAACTTGTTCTGTGGCTGTTCCACAAGATAAGCAAACATTTCTAATAAATGTTAACTTGATGAACGATGTCTTGCAGTATGAGCAGTATGTGACACAGAACATCACATGATCACAGTTGGGTCAATGAGTCTTCTCTATCTCTCACTGTGGGATTGTGGGTGATTGTCTCCTATACTTAAATGCTTGGTCTCAGGCAGAGGTGTTTCGCAGAAATCAATGATTTTTCAGAACGTTGGAAGGTGCCCACAATTGGCACCAGTGTATTTTTCCCCACTTCAAAGAATGTATGGACATTCCTTTGCTTTTCCATACAAGAGTAAGCTTAGGAATGCTTTGCTTCATTCTAGGTCAGGCTGCCTGCAGATATAGACCTTTTCTTGTGCTGCCTTTTTGCTGTTACATTAAATATAGTATATGACAAGAATTTATAAATACTGTACTGTAGTCAACAACCATTAGTGATAGTTGAAAGTCATCCTATCCAATAACCCTCCTCTCTCTTATCTCCCTCACACCAGCCATGAAGCTTTCCATAGGTAAGTGCAGATTAATTTGTTTATTTTTCTTTATATTTTATATTTTCTTTTTATTTTATATTATATTACAATATTGTAACAATTTTAAAATGAATATTTTTGTGTGGTGGAATGAATCATCTGAGTTTCCCTAATTTCTTATGTGGAAATTCACTTTGATATACAAGTGCTTTGGATTACAAGCATGTTTCCAGAACAAATTATGCTCGCAAACCAAGGTTTTACTGTATAGCAGTTCTGATGAAATAAGGTTTATAAGCATGCATTTTTTTCAATATTTGGCAACATTGGAATGATCTCTTTTAAAAAATAGGTATAAAACTCAAGTCATCCAATTGGAAATAAGCCTTGAAGGTAAAAGTCAATAGACTTGAGGTTTGCTCCAACTTTTGGCCAGATTAATAAGTAATTAGAAATTGGATGGCTGGCCTTAAAACATGATATAATGAAGCAAAGTCACAGAAACAGCAAAGAAAAAATAATAATAACCACAAACCTTTAAAAATTGACCATTCAAACTCAGAAATGGATGATTTTTTTAAAGTTTTTATTTTGAGAGAGAGAGAGAATGAGCAGGGAAGGGCAGAGAGGCAGAGAAGAAGGATCACAAACAGGCTTCACACTGTCAGCACAGAGCCTGTTGCTGGGCTCAAACCCATGAACCATGAGATCATGACTTGAGCTGAAATCAAGAGTGAGACAGAGGCTAAACTGGTTGAGCCACTCAGGCACCCCAGAAATGGATGACTTTGATATAACATTCTCAGCGGTACAGTGTACATTTAGTAATTAGGTTCCTTAAGAGTCCCATGTATCCATCTAAACTTGAGCTAATTTGCCTAGAAATCTATTCTTGACATCATAAGGTCCATAACTAAGTCATGTGGTGTGCGTGTGTGTATGTGTACACATGCATGCCCAAATGTTGACTGGCCTTTAAATTTTATCATGGAAACTTCTGCTTCTGACTATGACAAAATAGATTATATCAGACTAACTGTCTTAATGACAGCAACTGTAAAAACTAGATTTTAAAAAACTTTAAAAAATTGTTTGCAGACATGAGAGAGCACTCAAGATAGTGAGATCTTGATAGGCGCAATTTCTGCAGAGAAGGAAACATATTGAGATGAGATCTACATTTCCTCTTGGAGCTTTTGCTTATTCTTGATAATAGACATAAATGCCAAGCAGAAAGCCGCATCCTAGAGCCTGAGGCAGTCTCTGAGGACTATGTAGATAAAAATTAGAGCCTAAGCCTGCCAAGGCAACCATGATATGAAAAGTCAAAATCTTGGGGAAAAGAAAAGTATTGAAAAGTTAGCTTCATAGTTTTCCTGCAATTTCCCTTTGAGGCATTTGCTGATTTTTAACTGCATGTGCCCAGGGCAAGTTACTGGGAATCTAAACAGAGCACAGTTAATTAAAGGATAAAAAGTTAAGCAAAAAGTGCAAGAGATTAATTTGGCTGGAGAGACAAGAGCTGAGACCTCAGGACTACGCAAGTTTAGGACACCTGGTAAGCAATCCAGACTTTCATTTGAGATTCCTTCTTTGGGATTGCCTGACAATAAGAAAAATCCCAAAATATGTCAGTTTCCACAAAACAAGATATCTAGCTATAACTAAGTCATAGTGATATTCTACATTCTGTACATTTTTCAGATGTAAGTTTATCAAAAATCAAAGCCAAAGCCCAAATTATAAAATCATTGTTAAATAAAACACTCATTACCTTCAAGGAACAATAATGAAATTAAAAGCAAACTTTTCATCTGAAACCATGGAAAAGCCAGACAGCACAATGACATCTTAAAGTGCTAAAAGAAAAGAACTGACAGACTAGAATTATATGCTTACTGAAAACATACTTCAAAGATAAAGCAAAATAAAGATATTTTCAGAAAACAAACAAAGAAAAAACAACAAAAAGGGGGAATGGGATTTGTGGTAACAGTCTCTCACTAAAAGAAACACTAAAACAGGTTTTCCAGGAAAAAATAAGATGGTCTTGGATTGCTGTAGGTTGTAAAAGTGGCCAAAGCATGTACCTCTCGTTCCCTTCACCTCCTTGCATTTTGTCATTGCAGATGCTCCCATCAAGATTTGAGTTGATTGTACCCCAAATTACATCTATTTTCCAGGTTGTTAGGAATTGACTTATGTACCCTTCCAAATTTATATATCAAACTCCTAACTACCAGTACCTTCAAATGTGACCGTATTTGGAGACAGTCTTTTTATAGGCAATCAAACTAAAGTGAGGTTATAAGTATGGGTCCTAATCTAATAGGTCGTTCAATAAAAGGGAAATTTGGACCCAGAGACATGGGTAGAAGGAAGACAATGTGAAGAGACACAGGGAGAAGATAGTTTTTATAAGCCCAGGGAGAGCCCTGGAACAGAGCCTTCCCTCACAGCCCTCAAAAAAAGAAGTAACCCTGTCAACACCCTGATTTTGTATTCCAACTTTGCCTCCAGACTGTGAGAGAATAAACTTCCATGTTTAAGCCATCCAGTCTGTGGTGCTTGGTTACAGCAGCCCTGACAAACTAATATATATGTACACTTCTTTTGGCTAATGACACAGAGGCTTGAAAAGGGCTATAAATTGCTCTCTTGCCATCTTTGGAATTCTGAAACAAGCTTGTGAAAAATGGCTGGACAACCTACTGGAGGATGAAATGCCACACAGAATCGAGTCTCAGCTGTGTCTTTCCAACTGCGACGTATCCTAGACTAATGAGCCAACAACTCCCTGATGTGAGACAGGCCCTTCTAGATCAGTCTGCAATCAGTTCACCTGCTAACTGACCACAGACGTGTAAGAAAAGTTAGCTGTCAGCCGAACCAGTTCACAGTCAGGCTGATCCACAGAAACTTGAGCCGAATAAAACAGCTGTTTTAAGCCAACCACTAAAATAAGATGTTTTCTGTTTCATACTTAAATCTAAGAGGTACACAGAAGTAAGAAAATTCAGGAAAGGAAGAAAACCCTTGGAAAAGATAAATGAGTAAATAAAAATTACTTTTGACTGTCTAAAACACAACTGATACTTTTTTATGGGGCTAAAAGTATGTGTCAAATGGAGTAAGGTGCAAAAATACTGTCACCGTGACAGTATTGTAAATAAATGGTAAAGTGTTATAAGGTCTTGCCTTTGCAATTATGCATTTGTTTGTGTTTTTAGGAAGATTTTCCCCACAATGACATAAATATTTGTGGTTTTCCTGTTTGCTATTTATGTAATTATGGGAAAAATATATATTCAGATATTTTCTTCTAAGACATCTATTATATGTGTTTGTTTTTTATTTAAATATTCAATAGCTTTTTTTCAACTAGCTACAATTTATTTTGGGGGATGATATAGAATAAAGATATTTTCAAGTAACCAATTGCCCTAATACTTTTAAAATATCCTTATTTTTAATATACTTAAAATGCTCATTTTTATATGTTAAATTTTATTTGTAAGGATGATATCATTAAAACATTTATTTCCCACAGTAAGTCATTATGTCCTATTAGTAGTACTGTAAAATTTCACTGAAGTTTCTAATGAAAAAATATATATAGCAATATAACAAATAACTATGTATATATATAACTATATGTAGTTATATAGTATGCTTAATATAATATTTAATGAAGACTTTTCACATATACTTTATCATTTAATTAGTATACCACCAGTATAAGGTTTTATACTCCCTTTTACAAAAAGGAAGGAAATAAGGCTTAGAATAATTATGTGGTTTGCCAAAGGCATATAGTTATGAAATGATGTAGTCTTGAACACAGGACCCCAAACGCCAAATCTCAGAGTTAAATGTAATCATGATTTATATTAATTACTTTGCATTAGGCATTATATTAATAGTTGAAGATACAAAGATGAATAAAATTAACCTCTTTGTCTTTAGGTGATCCTGGAGAGAGAGTATATCCCTAATCTGTATTTATCCATTTTATGTCCTTGACAGTTTCATGCACAAATTCTCAACAGGAAGCTTTTTTATTAGAAGAAAACATCATCATTACTTTCTCTGACTCATGCAGCATTTAAGGCTGATTATGGGTAAGTGGTAACACATTTGTGAGGTGTGAGTGACCAGTCACCAATCGTGGCTATGGTTCTAGGTATCTTATTAACAAAATGTGTGGTCTTGAGCAAGATCGTAAAATTTCTGAGTCTCACTTTCATTTTTGGTAACAAACGTGAATAATGACTAGAATAGTAGTTAATCCCTGCATAGGCAGAGATAATTCCTGCCTTAGGGCCTTGACTCTAACCTTTCTCATTAGTTGAAATTATTTACTTCCAGACCCTTACAAGATGCACTTCTTTACTTCCTTCAGATTTTGCCTCATAAATGAACTATTCCTTGACCATGCCAGTAAAAATGGCCACTCTTGGGGAGCCTGGGTAGCTCAGTTGGTTAAGCATCTGACTCTTGGTT